GATTGTGATGTTCACCACTGACCTCCAGATCTTGCTCTGGCCTCCAATCTGCACTGCCTCCCCAATTGTGTTACATGGTGAGTCTAGAGAGATAGATAGGCTTGGCTCCAATTAATATATGTACATAAATGTTAAATTTATTCATATTTAGGTGAAGGGACAAAAGTGATTTCTATGAGAGAGAGAGACTATCATTCTTCCCAAACCCTTGAGAATGGGCACTGGTTAGGAATGGGGCTGGATCTGCCATACACAGGGAAGGGAGTTCTCCACCACCTGTGGCATCGGAGTGGTTCCGGAGAGCCATGAGGACTCCTGAGGGTTAGGGCAATAACACATTCCCACTGAAGGTCCTCTGCCCCAGTTGGAATGCCAATTTCATGTTTTTCCAGTCACATTTATTAATGGTATCCAGACTTGCACATGGCTGGGGCCCTCGTGTAACTAATAAGCACAATCCTGGATTCCTCTCTTCTTTCCTACTCCAATTGCTACTGGGGGTCATTAGCCCAGTCCTGTTTTTAATCCATCAGGATATGAGGGGCAAGAAAAAGGGAGGTAAAGTTGTTGACAAGGAAGATAGAGGGTACACATGCCCTCCAGATGCTGAGAGATTTTAGAAAAAGTAACACTGTATGTGATGACACCCCCCACCAATAAAATTCTCAGGGAGAGCGGGTTAGGGAAATACATTCCGAGAAAAGAGAAGCCGATGGGATGGATGGATTCAACCAAGGCAAAGAACACCCACAATTCCAGGGATACCTCATTTCAATGGAACATGCTTTTTCTCCTTTCTGCTTCCAGGTAACTCCCAACAAGCATCTAGGTAGGAAGCCAGGGTCATCTCAACCCCAGCAGGCATTTAATAGCCCCAAATGAGAGAGCACACACCCCTCTTCTCTTCTGTTCAATACTATGATGAAAATAGCACATAAATCAGGCTAAGTGAATGCAGGATACATATAAGATGCACATTTCTACAGAACCATGTGTTATTCAAATTAAATAGGTATTTTTCCATTGTCATCGCCATAGAATGGTTCTTTATTTGATCTATGGGAGAGAGTCTCCTTTTTAATTAAACCAACCACTCTGTCATTTTTCTAAGAAAGATAATAAAACAATAAAAATATTTATATCCCCTTTATCTTCCTAAACATTAATCACGAGGGGAAGAGAGTGTTAGGCCTTTGCTAGAGAGTTTATCACACAAACATTATACTAACATGCTTTAAATTACTGTTTTGCAGGTCACTTTATTCCTATTAAGAGTGTATAAGATTCTTATTGACTCTGACAGTATGTGCAATCATTTACTACCAAAAGGAATTCAGATCTGCAGTAAATTTGCCATAAGCATGGTTGATATATGAATATAAATGTATATTTGACAATACATATGCACCATGTTGACCTGGACACTAAGCAAACTGACCTCAATTTTCATCCAAAGTGAAATGTAAACACCTAGTTTGATGAGCAATGCTTTCTTTATTCTTTGCTCCCAGCTATGCAATTTAATTGACAGCCGTGTTATCCAGCAAAGTCATAGGTGGTTTACAGTTTCACCAATTTGGGATTATAACCTCTAGTCAGTGGAGAAACTGTGGAATGTTTAGACTACAAACCACAAAAACACATCTCTCTAACTGCACCAATTTACATGTACTCTGATTATCAATTAAACATGGCAATGTAGCCAATATTTGTAGAGATGCTAGATTTCAGCCCACACTTTACTATGTCACAAAGTAAAATCCTCCTAGCTAGAAGGGAACAACTTCTAGAATGTCATGCCATCTTTAGGGTTTTGGATAATAGCTTACTATTACCCAGAAGTCCTGGGTAATACTCTGCAGGGGGAGTAAGCTAATGTTAAAATATGAAACCATTGACTTTTTTCTCTGTAATTGAGGGTCCCAGACATCTGACAGTAAGCCATCTTTGATTTCTTTCTTTCTTTCTTTCTTTCTTTTTTTTTCTTTTTTTCAGTGATATAAGTGTCTCTCAGGAAAGGAGACAGAATTCTGGAAGCTCAAGTCACTGGTTCCCAGAAAGTGAACTTATTCACATGTCTATGGACAGGATTCAGCTCCTCCCAGCCTGTTGGACTAAGGACCTCAGGTCTTCACTAGCAACGAGTCTTCTGGGCACAAGGTACAGAGGTTTCCTGCCACACAGATCTCTTTATAGGATAGCTCACAACGTGGCAAGGGCTTCCTTTAGAGCAAGAGAACAAGCAGGATGCAAGTCACATCATTTTGTAACCTAAGCCAGAGGTGATATCCCATTACTTTTCCTATATTCCATTTGTTAGTATTCAGCTGGTTAAAATCAAGTCACCAGGTCCACACACTAAAAGCGCAGAGCTGCGGATGTAGCTCAGTGGTAGAGTGTTTTCCTAGCATGTAGGAGGCCCTGGGCTCAATCCAAATATAAAGGGAAGGGGATCACAAATGATATGACGCCCAGAAGGTAGGGATCACTGGGGCCATCTTAGAGACTGCTTGCACCTTCCTTGCATGCACAATAATAAAGGAATAGATACCATAATAGACCATGAATAGTGGAGAAAAAAGAAAGCAGAATGGGAAGGGAAAACGTTCCAGTGATATACTGATTATTTATGCCTCTGCTGGTACTCACTCTCATGCATTCTCTCCCCAGTCCTGCCAAACAACCTACCCTGTGACAGGTGCTTTGTTCAGAGAGTTCTCTAACACTATCTCCTTTTCTCTACCAGCAAGCACCCCCAGAGTTCAAGTTCCAGCTCTTCATACCATGAACATTTCAGCATTATTTTTCTAACCAGCTCCCATACTCCAATATGTCCAGGACTCTTAAGCCAGAATAATTTAAGTCACATTTTTAACTTATCTCCAGAAGGCCCTCAGTGGCCCCCTAATGTCAAACAAGATCTAGACACCAGAGGCTGCCACTCAGTGTATCATTTGACCCAGGCCTGGCTAGCAAAACTCATCATCCCCAAACCTCCAGGAACAACTCTGGCATCCTAGGCAAACCAGCAGAGACTTGAAGCCTCTGCTGATATCATCTTCCCCCTTCCTTGGCAAGACCAGTCTTCATCTCGTCACTATAAATCCTTCCCAATTTCTAGGATGCAGAACAGAGCCCATCCTCTCTGTGACACATTTTCTGATCACTCCTAACTATTTCAGTTCCTCCTATGAACAAGCGAAGCTGCAAGAGACCACAGCACTTACTACATTGGCCAGTCACTGTACATGTGTCATGTTTCTCTAAGGAGTGGATAAGCTTCTTTCCTCTTTTCTTCTAGAGACCACAGCATGCACCTCTGTGAGGTCCAAGAGAAATCTCACATGTCTTCCCCTCCTGAGAGTGGCTGGTCTATGAGAAATAAGGTTGGTTGGAAAGATGAATGGATGATGGATGGATGGAAGGAAATGTCAAGCACAGTGTTTAGCATCTCATAAGAGGTCAACACATCATAAATATTTGTTACCACCACTGATCCTAACAATGTGAAATCTGCACCTTAGTTCTGTGTAGGAACCTTTCCCAAAGAGAGCAAAAGCAAGTGAGATTTACCTACCTTGGACATAAATAAGACTATTCACTTCAAACATCACAGCTGAGGCAAATTCGTAGCTCCCCCTTCATCACCCATCCTAACACTGGCCTTCAGACACAGAATGCCAAGTGCCAGAGCCTTAGATGACACAGCCAGGACAGAACTCAGTCAATTTAAAGCAAGTTTAAATCAATATTTCAGCAATGGGACAGATGAGCACTTGGGAAACAGCACTGGTGAGAACTAAAGAGTGCTGGTGAAATAGAGGAAAAATTACCCATCGTGAGTGGAGGGGCGCCCACATAGTTTGGGTACTTTCTAAAAAACAAAAAATATTTTCAAAAAGATGACAGAAGACTTTTTAAGGTCTTTGTTATCTACATCTAGGGACAGAGGGATACCCTGATTAAAGCACAGAACGTCCAAATTCCAGGGGAAACCTAGCCATCCCTCTCTAGTTGGAGCAGTTAAGCCTGAAGCGAATCCTCCTAGGTATCAGATTCCTGGCGGTAGCATGCCTGCGCTATTCTTGGCCACCTTCATCTCACCGTAGGGAGCGCAGGAAACTGCTACAGGGATAGGCCCGCTAGCATCATTTCCCAAGAACAGAAATTTAGCTCTCCTGCTTTGGTGACCCCGGAGCTAAGTCTCCACGGTGGTTCTGAGAGCCCGGGGCATGCATCGCGCAGGGTACCCGGGGGCACCGCGGCTCAGATTGAGTTTTGAGTTTTGCATGCCCCGCAGCCTGAGATAGGAAGGCACAGCGTCTCTTGCCCCCAACTTACCTGCATTTAAGGACCCATTGATTTCACCTCCCAGAAGCATCCGCAGAATCCCCAAGATCTACGGTCCACCAGAGACTGATAGGATGAAGGGGATGGTGGCCAGGACGCGAGGTCACCAGGGTCCCCACCCTACGTGGGGTGGGGGACGTGCACACCTACTCGGCTCCCACCCATTAAGCCGACAGGATCTCCACAGGGGCGCCTCAACGTGGGCGACAGGGACCCGAGGAGGGAGGGACACACAAGCAAAACTTTGGGTCCTCTGGCCGCAACTCTGCACGAAAGACAACCCCTTCTTCGGCCCCGAGTCAAGCCGGCCGCTCAGATCCAGGCTCTGGGACTCGGGGTGGCGTGGGCGAGTGGAGCCGCAGCATCTCGGAGCCCCGAGAGCGAGCGCCGCAGCCTCGGTGCTCCGGCATGCGGCGGTGGCCGGGCCGCGCAGCCCCTCCCTGGGCGTGCGGGCTGGCCGCCCGGCGAGCGGGCAGGCTGCAGGGCGCCTCTCTGCTGCCCCTGGCGGCCGCGCGCGCCGCGAGCAGAGCCGAGCCCGGCCGGGCTCCCGAGCGCCGGCCCCTCCTCCTCTCTCCTCCTCCTCCGCCTCCCTCCTCCCATCCCTCCCTCCCTCCCCCTTTCAGAACACTCAATGTCGGAACGTTCCGAAGATGACGTCGGAGCGTTCTCGAATCCCGTGTCTCTCGGCTGCTGCTGCCGAAGGAACAGGGAAAAAGCAACAAGAAGGAAGAGCAATGGCGACACTGGATCGCAAAGTGCCCAGTCCGGAGGCGTTTCTGGGCAAACCCTGGTCCTCCTGGATCGACGCCGCCAAATTACACTGCTCCGACAGTAAGAACCCCACCGCCTCCTCCTCCTTTTATTATCCTGTAACCTTTCCATTCACCTAGAGCCACTGGGAAAAAGTGTGTGTGTGAGAGAGAGAGAGTGGCCCCCGGTGTCCTCCATGCTTCTCCCTCTCTCTCTAAATAAATACACACAGAGACAGATCATCAGTGCACAGAGAGAGGCCCGGCTGCCAGGGCTGTCTGTCTGTCTGTCTGTGCCCCGCTCCCCGTGGCAGCCCGCGGGGTGGGCTTTCGCAGCCCCACGGTGTTATCTGTTTAAAAGGCTACTCTGTTGCTGCTTGCATAGTTTTTTTGGTACCTATCTGGGCCAGGTAGATGGAAACCCAGACTTGGGAGAAAATGTTGCATTGTCAATTTTTGAAAGATTTTCATATACAGTATTTATATCGATCTGTTTGCAAATAAACACTCTCCCTCCCCCCTTGACTTTGGCTTTTTCCCCCCTTTTTTTCCTCATTTTCTTTTTTCCTTTTCTTTTTCATCTGCAGATGTAGATTTAGAAGAGGCTGGAAAAGAGGGTGGAAAAAGCAGGGAGGTTATGAGGCTTAATAAAGAAGGTAAGTGGAGCTACTGGCATTTTAGTGTTAGCATGTGTGGCAGAATCTTCACAGGATTTGGAATATAATGTGAATTGTTCTGCTGGGTACAGAGTGACTAAGGCTTGTCAAAAATTGAGCACGCCCAGGTGACTACTGCTTCATCTTAACTTCTTTCAAAGTATAAATACAACTGGGGGGCACAGGGGGGGAGACTGTGGAAGGCAGAAGTTTGCTGCACTTCAGTTGAAGTCCACGTTTGCACCTTCTGATGCATATCTACCATTCTCCTTTGGAGCATCTTTGCCAAATGGTGGGGGGTCAAAATCCCTGAAATGAGAAGTGGGGCTTCCTTCACAAGCATTCCAGCCTTCCTTGTGGGTAAAATGCACAACAGTTTTAATGAACCCCACATGGTCAGTCATTCCGGTAACCTCTTCTCCACTGAAAAATCATTGTACATGGTAAACCTTTGCAGCAAGTGACATTTGGCCCACTTTGTGTTCCATCACAGATTGTTACGTAGTGACCAGTGTTAGGGGCATCTGTATGTGCAGCACTCCCCACCAAGTTGGTCCCCCATCTGTTTTCACAGCATGGAAATATGGCACCTGAAATGGAACACAATGAGTAGATAGGTCATCTCAGACTGAGACATGTGAGCGAAGTAAAGTGTGCTGGAGCTGGGCATCAAACACACATGGTTGTCATAAATAAATCATATCCTGGTTTGCAAGCCTACCATGTGTAACTCTGGCCTATGGGCTTCAAATGGAACAACTTCAAAGGTAACATTGCTGAAGAAGTGGATGGATTCATGTGAATTGTAATGCGCTAACTAAAGTGTTGTAAACATAATTGACTATAATGGGGGTGGGCGTGCAAAGGGGCAGAAGAGGTTGGGTGTTTTAAAAGTTCAGACATAACTAGGCCATAGGAGCATCTCTCATCCAAAATGAATGGAGAAAAGGCCATTAAACTCCAAAATGGTACCATTCATGAAAGGGAACATCACCCTAAAAGGCAATTGAAACCTGCTTAGAAAAATGGAACTCATTTTGCAGATTGACACCCAAGACAGTTGGTTTTCTGTTCCCAAGCACTTCCTGACCATCCAGTGAGAGGAAATTTTGTGCTTCAGAAAAAATAACATGGAGGTTAAAATGCATGCATATTCAAGGACAGCTCTCTAGCAGGTTTCTGCTAATTAAGCACTTTGGGAACAAAACATTATTCTAAAGATGTTTGCCTCTAAATATCTTAGTGTGATCTTGACATGTGTGTTTAGGATGCACGAGGGAATGATGTCAAGTGGACTTCTTACAAGTGGCAGCTTATTTGTGCTAAATGTCCATGTGTGTTGCCAATGGAAAGAATCCCTAGAGATTGTTTTCTTCGCAAACTCTTGAAGTCTTTAAAAGCTTATAGGACTGAGTTATCAGACCACTGGCAAGGTTTCCACAAGAGATGATGAGGTTGTGAAAACCTTTAAATTAAAGTTGAGTAGAGGTCATGGTATGGCACAGGATTGGCACTTCTCAGGTCTGGGTGATGGATTATGATTATAATGTACAAAATTCATGTTCTTTTCCCTCCTTCCCCCACTTCTATTTCAAAAGACTCTTGTTCTCAGATTTCTTTGCCTCATGAGAAATGGATTCTTTTAAGGAAAAATGAAAAGCTCTCCTTTCCTCAGAAGTCACAAAGGGTATATCCTGCTTATTATGTCCTTTGTCCTGTAAAGGTACAAAGACTTAACTCCTAATTATATGCATTTGCATTATGGACACCCACTGTTCAGTGCAACATACAATTGCTGACTTCACCAAAATAGCCATGCACAGGCTTGATCTCTTTGTTCATGGGCAGATTTGGGTATTTCCTGATGGTCTTTCTGATATATACACACAGTTTTCTTTGTAGATAAATATATATATACTGAATACATATCCCTCCCACCACCACCACTGCCATGAAGAATGTAAGGGTTGATCTGATACTCTATGTCAGGGTGTTTGGAGGCCTGGATCTCCAGTAACCCTGGCTGCATGTCTTGCCGTGGGCCAACTTGTTGGGTTATCCTATGGCAGTTCTTGGACTGGACACGTGTTTGTGGATGGGTCTCTGCAGGACACAAAATGGCCCGTCTGTGACTCTGTATATATAAACACATAGATTGACCATGCTGCTGTTGGCAGCTAGCAGGTCTTGAGAAGACATTTGGGCTTTAATGGCAATTAATGAATAAAATAAAGTTTAGGAATTACAACTGAGAAACAAAGGGATATGATATCTAGGGTAAAATATATATAACAAAATGTACCATTTCAACTATTTCTGAGTATACAGTTCAGTGTCAGTGAGTATATGCATAGTGTTGTACAATGAGCACCACTACCATTTCGCAAGTTTTTCACCATCTTAACCAGAAATTCTGTACTCATTAAACAATAATTTCCCATTTCCCCCTTCCCCTTAATCCTGGTGTCCACGTTCTACTTTCTATCTCTATGAAGTTGCCCATTCTAGAGACCTCATGTAAGTGAAAGCATACAATAATTGCCCTCTTGTGTCTGCTTCTTTCACTTAGCATAGTGTTTTCAAGGTTCATCTGTGTTGTAGTAAGTATCGGTACTTCATTCCCTTTTCAGGCTGTTTCCATTGTATATATACTACATTTTTTAAAAATCCACTCATCTGTTGATAGACATTTGGGTTGTTTCCACCTTTTGGCTATTATGAATAATGTTGCCGTGAACAATGGTGTGATGTGATTTTTTTTTTTAATATGTAAGCTCAGTAAGGGAAGTTAGGCTAGAAATGTGAAATAAGAATCATTTTGCTTTCTGCCTGTCTGGCCACAGTTTTGGAAGACATAGCAAGCATTTGCAGACTTTTCAAATAACGACGTGGTTATTGTAATATAGTTCCTTTCCCATCCCATGTCCCTTTAACCTTTTTTTATTTCAATTCCCCACCTTTATCGGGTAGGAAATGTTAACAGAATGCTTTGAAATCTCTATAATAAAGTCTTCACATCAAAGTTATTATTTCATCCAAAGTTACCTAAAATTATGGTCAAGTGGAATTCTGCACATGTTTGAACCTTGCCAGGTCATCACCTGGGTGCAGAAGTTGTCACTAATTCCATACTTGGATGTGCTTATACAAGGTTCTCTCCAGAGCAGCCTGGGAGGTAAGAGAGAAGGAGAGAGAAAAAGAGAACACTCAGAGTTAGCTTCCTGAATTCTGATATATGCCCAAGGAAACATTTCCTTCTCTGGGCTTATTCTCTCCTCTGTAAAGTAAGAGGGTGGGACTAAATGTCCTCCACGGCTCCTCTGAGACCTCTGAACCTGAGCTTCTCCATTGAATGTACCTGCCTTTGAGATGCTATTATAGCAGACAAGTTGTTTCTAAATAAACTTTAAAATAAAGTAGATAAAATAAGCCCTCACATTTAAAATACCTGAAACTCCTTCAGAAGTATAAAGAATAATTGAGTATATTTTCTCAGTTTTTTACTTCTTGGTGGCAAAAATTACTGCATCTCATACACAAGCATAGTCTACTGCACATAGTTATGAATGGTCTGTGGCCTTCAGTGCTCTAAAAAAAAGTGAGGGTTTGAGTCCAAAACCCAGTGGAATGTGTCTCCCCTAGTGAGCAGGGCCTTGGCCTCAGGCAGCTTAGATCAATCAAGCCGTCAGCTTTCCCAGGAGCAGGGGTCCCAGAAACCTTATTAGTCTAATGTACCACATGGACTGTGTTTATGATAGAATATTCCAAGGAAGGCCATTCTTCTGTGCTGACCTTTTAAAATAAGTTTCTCTCCTCCACTTGGTGGATTTACCTGAGGACTTTTTTCCCCCAAGCTAATAGGGAAAAAAGCCCTCGGTGATTTAGAAAGATGTTCCCAATTTCTAATTGCTTTACCTGAACTTTTTTTTTTTTTTCTTTTAAGATTGCCAGTTCTTTCCTAAGTTAAGAAATACCAATTTTTTCTTTTAAGAATGCCAGTTTGAGGAAAGCCAAGGCAGGACAATCAAAAGTTTGAGGGCAGCCTGGGCAACTTAGTGAGATCCTGCCCCAAAACAAAAAGGGCTTGGAATATATCTCAGTTGTAGAGTTCAATCCCCAATACTGGGTGCGGGGATGGAGGTGGGGAGGGAGTCAATTCATAAATAAGGAGCAGGCTCTTAAGTGTCTTCAGCTACAAAATGAGATAAAAACAGGGTTGTTTTGAGGATTGAGATGATATGAAAGGGCTTAACACATAGGATGTGCTTAATGAATGTTTGCTTTTATCCTTTTTATTATTATGATTATCACCGTTTATTAATGAAGCTAGTTCTAGAAAATTATTATTCTAATTAACTTAGGTTTTTAACTAATCTATGATGAAGACAAAAGAGACTTTATTTATAGAGCAATATCAACATTTTTAATGGAGTACCACTAATAAGCAGTCATTGATAAGTTTTATCAAGAGCTAAAAAAATAGGCATTTTAAGGTATATGACTTAAGAGTTTACGTAGTCCCCCCACCCCGCCCCCTGCCAGGAATGGAGAGGTTTAAATTTTTTTTTCTTTTTTTTTTTTAATGAGTATAAGTTGTTTTATCACTGAGAAAAGTATGACCTCAGTAGATTCTTGTTTGGGTGTTTTGGAAGCCCACACCTCAGTAGATCCTTGTTTGGGTGTTTTGGAAGCCCACACTTGTGACTCTGGGCATTTGTCTGCATTTTAGTGTTCCCACATGTTTTGGGTTGATGCAATTAAACTAGTGCCATGCTTCCAATTGAAAACTGTGCTGTTGGAGCCGTAAGATCTTACTGTGACTGTAAGTTTGATGTTCTCCTGAGAGGCTGGTGGAATTGGGCTGGAGTATAGGAGGGAGCAGGGAACATGGGAACATGTTCTGTTCAGGTTTAGGATCCTGTAGTTATGGCTAGATGGGAGCAAATTGGAGGAAAAGTGGCAGCTGACCTGGTAAGATGGAAGTGTTCCCTGAGCCAGGG